TATCTGATTGTTGCGTTTTTTAGTAAACCCAACACAGAAGAGACGAAGCAAATAACCTTCAGTAGTCCTGACATCGACATGAGCTTCAGTCATAGTCTGCCATTTTTTGACCATGGAACACATTTTGTCACGGATGAGATCCATGCACGTCCTCAGTAATTAGCTTGAATTTCCTAAATGTGACTTTGTCATTGTGCAGATCTGCAAGGCTCACTTCAAACACATGGCCCTTACGGCTGTCAGATGCAATTTTGGTTCCTTGAGTCCGGATAACTGGTGTCTTCCCAATATTTCTTATGTTGAACATAGCAGGTGCATTCACGTCATACCAATCTTTTTTATCTTTTCTTTCTTTAAAGAATTATTTTCACTTAATTTTATTTATTTATTCATTTTATGTTAATTTGACCAGAGAGAGAGAAGTGAGAAAACAAGCCACCAGGTCCGAGACTAGAACCGTGGTCAGCCATGTAGGAGTGTCCAGCGCCTTAACCACCATGCCACCTGCTGGTCCCCATACCAATCTTTTTTAGAAAATGGATCAACCACTTTCATCTTGGCTCCCCTTTATGCCGCCTTTCGTAAGGCGCTTATTCTTGCCAACTGCCATGGTGATACTCAGAGAACCAAAAACGCTATAAACTTTTATTGTAGACATTTTCAAGTGCAAAGATAATGTATGTTATCTTTGTATATTATAATGTAAATATCTACCACCTAGATTCAGTAATATTAATTTTTTTGAGAGTTTTTTTTTTTTTTTTTTTTTGCTATAGGGCGCATGCACTCACCAGACAGACAGAGAGAGACAGAGGGACAGAAAGTGAGAAATCACTCCCCAGGGGGGATGGTCACGCCACAATCCCTTCTCTTCCATTCTCCTCTCGGGATCTTGGGCACGCACACACACGTGCCCGGCATGAGTTTGAAGCCACTGGGTCCGGGACGTGAACCGTGGTCGACTACATGGGAGTCCAGCGACATAGCCATTACACCAACTGCTGGTCCCAACAATATTAATTTTTTCAGTACGTGCACCTGCATATGAAAGCAAGAAACTGAGAGAGATGAGCACCCTCCACAGGTTTGGTTATACCTTGATTCTCTCTCCTCCAATTCTCCAGCTCATTAGGTCTTGGGCCCTTACACATAATTCAGGCTGGCCAGGCCAGGGATTTGAACCACAGTCACCAAGTGGATCCCGCTTCTCCTGAGCAGCACATTACCATGG